AGGAGAGAGAGAAAGCTGCTGCCCTCCCACTGGACTCTCAAAGGCCCAAGAGGGCTGGGGAAGGGACCAAATGTACTAGGGGAGGCGGAAGCTGCTGGGCATTGAGCTGGGCCACCACAGGGCCCTCGTCTCCTATCCCTTTTGGCCCTGGCCTGACAGGTAAGGGGTGAGGAGAGTGCAGAGAACTGGGATAGAAGGTGAGAGAGTGGATTTGGAGCCAGGGCCAGTCTCAGCATGGTCTTGCCCCTGAGGAGGATTCTTCCCTCCTGGGCTCAGCATTCTCCCCTGTGACCCCCAGAACTGAGCCCCTCAGAGGAACCTAGCAGTGACTTGGTGACATTCTCCTTATAATTCCACTGGTAGATAACATCAAACCACGAAGCACTAAGCTGCTCAACAAAGTTCTCATTCTCTTGTGTTGACTACTCTGACTACAGCATTTCCATTTAAATATCAGACTTCATATTATTTCAATCAATGAATTTCCTTTTGTGGGCCCTTTGTGAGCTCCTTAAACGTGGGCACATTCTGTCACTTGGGTGACCCAGCAATGCCCTGGATCCTCTGTACCATAGCTGGGGTTCTGTGTTTCTGGGGACTACCCAGGGATTCCCCCTCCCTGGCCCTCAGATTCCTGAGGCTGCTATGGGGTGGCCAGGGTTTGAGTGGGCTTCTCACCCACCCACCTTTGTTTAACCAGAATGTGCCTTTCCCCACCAGAGGGCCGGGCGTGTGCCGTGGTCTTCGACTGCAAGTTTATTGAGACATCAGCAGCACTACACCACAACGTCCAGGCCCTGTTTGAGGGTGTTGTGCGCCAGATACGCCTGCGCAGGGACAGCAAAGAGGTCAATGCACGTCGACAGGCGGGTACCCGGCGGCGAGAGAGCCTTGGCAAGAAGGCAAAGCGTTTCTTGGGCCGCATTGTAGCACGCAACAGCCGCAAGATGGCCTTTCGTGCCAAGTCCAAGTCCTGCCATGATCTCTCAGTGCTCTAGACTCCACAGGCACCTCCTGTGTTTTGCATACAGATGGGTAGATTGGTGGGCTGGCCCAGCCAACCGCCCTAGGTGCCTCAGGGCTGACTCAGACTCTGGGCATACTGCACCTCATGGTCATGGACAGACAGACAGTGCTGCCCGGGGAGACAGCTCCCAGTGGCCATCAAGGGCTGCGCCCACAGCGATGTGTGTACAGGCTAGTGTGTGTCCCAAGCAGCAGCCTGAGCCCAGCCCGTGGGGCAGGCCTGTGTGCGGGGAAAGGACTCTATCTTTCTCCACACTTGGGGTGTGCATGCTCTGGAGGGAGGCTGTTCAGTGCAGTGGTTATTTGTTTACATGCAAATTTTTGTAATAAAGATTATTTCCTGATAGATCAGGGCTGTTGACTCTGAGTTTCCTCCCAGTAGGGGGCTGTTGGAGCAGGAAGTGTTCCTGAGGTTAAGGGATGGGGCCTCACTGCCCTGCCCTAGTGTGTGGCTTTGATTATCCTAATATTTGGGCTCCAATATAGCTAGCTGGATCAGAGAGGCAGGTGTGGTTGTGGCCTGGTTGGGGATCCAAGCAGCAGGAGGAGACAATAGCCCCTCCCATCCCTGTTATCCAGATTTTTCTCTTGCACTGGGGCTTAGCAATGCCCAGCTGATTGAAGCTTCAATCACTCCATTGTAGGACAGGGAAACAGGCTGTCTGAGGTACCATGCCCTGCCTCAGGTCTCATGGCCAAACAAGAACCCTGAGTCTGGCTGGGTCCTGGGCTGGTGTCTCCATCCTGCGCCCTCCTGAGGGACCAGAAAGTTGCTTAAATGGGGTAGTTGTGGAAGACTTCCGTGACTCCCTGGCTGGGAAAGAAGGAGGCTAGTGACCGAGGCTGAGCTACTGAGAAAGGGAGGGTGTCACTCTTCTCTCCTCCAAGAGAGGCCAGGCCAGAGCATCCCACGCTCAGCATTGGCTAATGTGGTGTTGGCAGGAACAGCTCCCTGGAACCCTCCCTGCCTGGAATGAGAGGCCTTGCATTTGTGTGGGAATGTGTGCATGTTTGCTGATAGCTGGCCGTGTGCCTGTCTCCCAGCCGCCCGCACCAGGTGACTGCTGGGACTTTACCTAAATTGTTTCAGGAACGAGTATCTCCATTTGGCAATGGTAGATGGGGAACTGCAGCAGTTGCCTGAGGTCACACAGGTACAAGTGGCTGAGCGGGGACTGGTTTACAAGGCTACCGGTCTCCAGAGCCCAAAGGCAGCCTCCCGGGCAAGGCCTGGGACAGTTTCTGAGAAGGCTCTGGTCAACGGTCCATACATTTCCTTCATTGGTTCAGTTTATTTATTACACAGACTCCTAGGTGCTCTTGCAACCTGGTTAGAACACTGAAGTTGTTCGTTGGTAGAAGGTTTGAGGGCCGCTCCTCAATGTGCACAACCTGCAATGGGCAGAACCTGTCTTGATTAACACACATGCCCTCCTGGGCAATGTTAACTGTGCAGAGCTTTGCTGCTCCCCACTTCTACCCTGCAACATACTTAGAGGCATGTGGAAGGCATGGTTTTCTCAGAGCAAGCGAAGGTCCTGAGGCCTGAAGAAAAATCCAGGCCTTCCTGGCTCTGCTACTTATTGGCTGTGTGACCTTGGGTAAGCCACTCAGCATTTCTGTGCCCCAGTAAGTGACACTAGGACAGTGCTCCTTCAGAATGGAGTTAGGGGAAGAGTGAAGGTACATACTATGCCAGGTGCATAGTAGGAGCTCAACACATGTGAGACCCCTTCAACCACCCACAGTGCACTGCTCCGGGCTGTGGTGCCTGGGGTGCCTGAGTTACACTTGGCTTGTGACAGCTGGAGGCAGGGGAGGAGTCCTTGCCCATCCTCCGGATATGCAGTGGAAAGGACTCAGGGAAGACCATGGGAAACTCTGAGAACAAGGAAGTATTGGAGATGGTATCCCTGACCCTTCCCACACATCCCCCATGTGAACTCCCAGGCCCCAGATGCTTTTCCTGGCTCCACTTGGCTGCCCTCATGGGGGGAGGGGCCTCTGGCAAGCCCTGTGATTCCCTCAAGGTCACCTGAGCAGGCTCAATCTTCTCTTGCTTCTCATAGGCACGAGATAGTCCATTGTCCCAGCCCTGTCGGTGTCAGCAGCTAGTGTGAGCCCCTAGGGAGCCTCAGGGGCTCTCAGAGGCTGCTGATTCCTTCACCCATTGGTTCCAGTGGTGGCTGGTCTAGAGCCCCAAATACCCAGTTCAGATCATGTTCATTTATCCTTCATGTGCAACCTCCAGCTCCTTGTTTTTGATCCAGTCAGGAGCTGCCAGGGCCAAGCAAGGGCAAGGTTATTACTAGGTCCCTAAGACTTTCCCTGAAGAGCTCCCAGTCTGGTAGAAGAGAAAGTGACAGTCCGGTGTCTTCTCTGCTCTGACAGAGGTAGCACATTACAAGGGGTAGAAATTATCCCCAGAAGAGAATCCTGAACAAGCCTGGGAGCCCAGGGAAGGTTTCCTGGAGAAAAGTAATATTTGAACTGACTACTGAAGCCTAAGTAGGTATTTACCAGACAGATGAAGGGAGGAAAGAACATTCCAGACAAAAGGAACAGAGTGGGCAAGATAGAGCTACAGATGCTGGTGCATGGGAAAGAAGTGGTATTGAGTCTGAAACCACAGAAAAAGAAGTAATGTCCAAGCCTAGAGGTCCAAGAATACCTACTGGGCTGTGTAGGAATGGGAGAGGTGCCAGGCCAATGATCTCCCCACCTCCTGGGGCTGGCAGTCATGGATGCTGAGCAGCCCCTAGCTTTCCAAAGTCAATGAGTAACTTGGGGGGCTGGGCAGGGCCGGGCCTGCTGCTGTGGGCCAGTGGTGTTTTCCACTCCTGAGCAAGCCTGGCTGGACCGCCTACCTGCTCAAGTGTCCGCCCTGCCCTACCCCACCCATCCCGACCTGGCCAGTGCTCCCTGGAGAAAGAGCCTTCCCGCCTGGCAGCTGGACCAAGGGAGCCCGCCTTAGGCACCAGAGGGTGAGGGCCCTGGAGTGGCGGGGTGAGCAGGCCCGAGGCTGGGGTCGGTGGTAGGGGAAGGACAAACACTGCCCTGTCCGGCCCTTGCTCAGGGAAGAATTCCCAGGAGAGGTTGGAGTGGGTGTCCATGCTCTGCACACCCAGCTCCATGCTGAGTGCTGAAAAATGCCAAGATGAGGGCAGGACCTCTGCCCCGAGGGGACTCTGTGTCTGAAGGATGGCAGTGGGTAGAAAAATAGGCGTCAAGACCCTGAACCATGAATCCTCTGTTTCAGGAGGAATTGTCCTGTGGTCAAGTCCTCTGTGACCTTGGTCAGGCCTTGCTCTTCAGGCTTTGCCTACAACATGAGGTGACTGAAGGAAGTGACCCTCAGGGTCTTTCCAGCTTCAAACTTTTGTGATATTCAGGGTTGCTGGGCAATTAGCACTTTGGGATCTACATACAGGCTGAGGAGGCTATGTTGGAAAGGAGACGAAGGTCTGGAGGTGAAACTCCCATGGAGATCCTCGTGGGGCCAGGAACCAAGAGGCAGGATGGCTGTGCCTAGGGGCCTAGGTGGGCCTGGCTGAGGAGCTAGATGCTACCCTGCAGGCAGTGGGGAGCCACAGACCCCTCTAAGAGGAGGAAGAGGAGGCCAGTCTGTTGTGAGGTCCCACTGGCTATTTGTATGGAATGGGCTGAGGCACGGGACAAGGATGGGAGTGTGTGGGGAGCAATGTTTAAGTGGGTGGGATGGAGAGGGGCAGCTCTGGGAGTATAAAAGGAGAGGGGACAGGAGGAGACCTGGCTGACTGCCCCATAGTGACAGACAGCCAGAGGTCCAGCTGAAGAAGGAATAGTTGCACCTGTGGGGCTTGAGGAAGCCCTGGCTTGGGCTGAGCGGCGATGAGGGGTGGGATACTCTCTGGGAGGAGAGTAATGGGAGGGACCCCCTGCCCACTGATCCTGGCTGCACCCTCACTGCCATATCCCTCAGGCCCATCCTGACCATGGTCCCTGCCTGGCTGTGGCTGCTTTGCCTCTCCGTTGCCCAGGTGAGCTGGGCCCTGCTCGACTCCTTCAGATCCTGGCCCTGGGTGTTGGCACCCTTGTCCCCACTCCATCTGGACCAGTTGCACTGACCATGGAAGAGACTAGTTGTGGGAGGGGCGTTCAGAGGTGGCTATAGGCCTGTTGTGGGGTCAGGAAGTCAAAGGCCAAGAGGGTGGATGGGTTAAGGTATGGCCAGGCCCATGGAAGGGGAAGAAATTCCCCCTTCCTTGTCAGCCGCCTGTGGCAGGAAGATAAAGCCTGGAGACAAGGTGAGAATCCTCCCGCAGGTTCTCCCAGAGGCTCAACCTGCAGAACTGTATGTGGAAGTCCCAGAAAACTATGGCGGAAATTTCCCTTTGTACCTGATCAAGGTAAGCCTGAGATCTGGGTGGGTTGCCCTCCCCCTCCCTCCAGCATTTTTACCTTTCTTTTAGTCTTGTGTCTCTGAGAGTGTGCAGTATGGTGAGAGTGACTAACAAAATTTCAATTCCAGAAGAAAGAGTTTTAAGTTAAAAACTAAACAATTGGTGGTGAGGTTTCAAGCTTTAGAAAGGAGGGCAGGAAGTATTGGGGTATATCAGGTACAGGGGAAAGAGCTCTGGCTTTGAATCTCAGTCCTATGACTTAATGGCTGTGTGACCTCAGGCAAGTGCTAGTCCTCTCTGAGCCCCAGTTTCCCCACATAATAAAATGGGGTCATTGGGTGGAGGGGCATCCCCCAGGCCTGGCTCCCACTGCCTTTACCTCTGTTCTCCCCAACAGCTGCCACTACCCCCTGAGGAGACTGAGGGTAAGATTGTGCTGTCAGGAAGCCCAGGCATGACAGCTGAGGGCCCCTTTGCTGTGGATGCAGAGTCTGGCTTCTTGCTGGTGACCAGGGTCCTGGATCGAGAGGAGCAGGCAGAGTACCGGCTACAAGTATGGCTGGGCCTGATGTAGGGGAGAACAGTGAAGGCAGGGCAGGGCACTGACTATCCTTCCCTGCCAGGTCACCCTGGAGACTAAGGATGGACATGTCTTGTGGGGCCCACAGCCTGTGCTTGTGCATGTGAAGGATGAGAATGACCAGGTGCCCCACTTCTCTCAGTCCATCTACAGAGTTCAGCTGAGCCAGGGCACCAGGCCTGGTGAGTGCCCAGGGCAACGGGCTAACAACAAGGTCATGTGGGCAATGATGAGGGAACAGAGAGTTAAGAGATCACCAGACACCCAGCATAAGCACAGGGCAGCCAGGATCCAAGGCTCCCCACTCCTTGTATTTCTGTCCCATCTCTCTCCCTGCAGTCTACTGAGAACCCTCCGGTCCATCCACTCTTGGCCTGTTTGTTCACCTGCAAAGTGGGGTGAAAAGCTGTGACTCACCTCCAGAGTCCTGATATGATGATGGATATGGAAGGAAGTACCAGGCAGAGATGGGGGAGGCTTGGGAAACTCTCATCACTCCCTCCATCTCTCATGGTTTGCCCTCTCTACACACCAGGCATCCCCTTCCTTTTCCTTGAGGCTTCAGATGAGGATGAGCCAGGCACAGCCAACTCAGATCTCCGATTCTACATCTTGAACCAGGCCCCAGCCCGACCTTCCCCAGACATGTTCCAGCTGGAGCCTCGGCTGGGGGCTCTGGCCCTCAGTCCTGAGGGTGAGTCTGAACTGGGTGTGATGAAGAGAAAGGTCATGGAAAGCTGGGGAAGGCAGCATGTGAGCCATAACAGTAAGATGGGTTGGAGCTGGAGAGATAAAGAAAGAGTATTCTAGGTGGAGAAGAGCAAAGCACAAGGCTTGAATCTTGCATGGAGAGAAAAAATGGTGTGAATGGAGTACCTCAGCCCTATACTCTGGACACCTGAGCCTAAGGGACAAGGCTAGGAGAAACCTGAGGGGTTGTAGCCCAGGATGTTGCTGGGAGACCTTTGGACTAATTGTAAAGGAGACCTGAACCTGGGAATTCAGACCAGAGGCACACAATGGGGATGGAAAGAAAAGCTAACCATACATCTACCCAGCCAGTCACGCATTCACCCATCTACCTCCCAGCCACATAACTAGTCCATCTATTCAAACATCTATCCAGACTAACCCGTCCATACACCCAAATCCCCATCCGTTTACTTAGTCAACCATATATTCATTCAGCTGGTTATCTATTCACTACCCATCCACTCATGTGTCCCTACCCCCATCCTAGTCATCCAGCCCATCAACCATTCATTGTGTGGATAGATATGGAAATGGATTTGCAAACTTTCAAGTCCTGCTTGGGTGCTCACTATGTGTTAAAAGTCTTCCCCTTTGGCCAAGAAAGTATCCCAAACACCTGCCATATGCTTGGCTTTGTGTTTGGTACCTCGCTGAGGAGGATGTCCTGGACTCCTGCTCACCTGACCGTCCTGACCCTTCTAGGAAACACCAGCCTAGACCAGGATATGGAAGGGCACTATCAGCTATTGGTGCAGGTCAAGGACATGGGTGACCAGGCTTCGGGCTACCAGGCCACAGCCACCGTAGATGTCTCCATGGTAGAGAACACCTGGGTGCCCCTAGATGCTGTCCACCTGGCAGAGAATCTCAAAGTCCCATACCCACACCACATTGCCCAGGTGAGTAAACGCCTGTCGATGGCTGAAGTAGCCCCATGGATGGTACAACTGGGCCTGGGTCTCAAGATTTGGAGGATGGGTCTGAGGCCCAGCTTGGCCCCTGCTCCCCTCCTACCTATGTTCTTCCCTCTGTTGTCCCCATCAGTTCCTACCATGGCGTAGGGCATCCAAGGCCCCAGGACCAGGCCCAGGCCCATAGCCCCTCACCTGCTATCCTCTGACAAGTGCGGCTCTGGGCCCTGAACCGAGCTTGCCCAAAGTTCTTTAGGGAGAACAGCTGCCACCTCTCTGCTGCCATGGGGATTGTCACCCAGGCTTGGAATGTCTCATCCCTCCTCGAGGAATGCCCTGGGGTCAGGCCCAGCCTGAGAAGGCACAGAATAAACAATCTGGTCATTCAGGCACTTAGGGCAGGGTCTGGGCTTGGCCCAGGGTAAGACCAGCCTGGACTTGCTCCAGCAACAAGTGTCGCAAACAAAAAGACCCTACCTGGACTCCAGGGAGGATAGCAACTTACCTGAGGTCACACAGTAGCAGGGGCCCAGGCTCCCTACCCATGAACAGTTGAGGCATAAGAGCTGACATGGGCTGTTCTTGCCCTTCATCCCGGGGTGCCCTTATTCTATGTCCCTTTCCCAGGTACACTGGAGTGGGGGAGATGTACATTATCATCTGGAGAGCCAGCCCCCTGGGCCCTTTGATGTGGATGCAGAGGGGACACTCTATGTGACCAAGGAGCTAGACCGAGAAGCCCAGGCTGAGGTGAGGTGAGGGGGCAGTCAGAAGGGCAGGCTGAGGGGTGCCTGGCCACTGTCCAGTTGGCTCTGGGGGTGTCACATTCCACACAGGCACCAAGGCAATGGAAGAGCACCCAGAAGAGCTGGAGCTGGCCACCAGAGGGGACCCAGCCTGAGACCAGGCTGGAGCTGCCCTTAACTTTCATCTGAAGCCCCTCACTGTATACTTCAGTACCTGCTCCAGGTGCAGGCTCAGAATACCCGTGGTGAGGACTACACAGAACCTCTGGAGCTGCATGTGGTAGTGATGGATGAGAATGACAATGCACCTGTCTGCCCCCTTCGTGGTTCCCCAGTCAGCGTTCCTGAGCTCAGCCCTCCAGGTGGGCTGTGGGCCTTGTCAGGGGATGCAGGAGGGTTGAAGTACTTATGAACCATCCCATCTTGCTCTTCTCTGGGATGGGATCAGCCTCAGGTCCCTATATCAGTGTCCCTACCCTCCTACAAGTTCAGGTTCAGCCCAGCACAAGAGCAGAGTGGGCAAAGTGAGGCCTGCAGATTGGGCTGTGGTCCCACCCAGGTGGGTGCTGTCTTCATAGGCACTGAGGTGACTAGGCTGTTGGCAGAGGACCTGGATGCCCCCGGTTCACCAAATTCCCACATTGTGTATCGGCTGCTGAGCCCTGAGCCTGAGGAGGGAGCAGAGGGAAGAGCCTTCAAACTGGATTCCACCTCAGGCAGTGTGACAGTCGGGGATGCCCCCCTCCAAGCTGGCCAGAGCATCTTGCTTCAGGTGATGGCTGCTGACCTAGGAGGAGCAGAGGGTGGTAAGTGCCCTGATGGTGACTCAGGTTCTCTCCCTCTCTGTTATCCTGGTCTCTCCAACATGTCCTCTCCTCCCTCAGGCCTTAGCAGCACATGTGAGGTCACTGTCACAATCACCGACATCAATGACCATGCCCCCGAGTTCACCAATTCCCAGGTAAGCAGGAGCAGGGGAGGAGACTTTGGGAAGGCACTGATGAGGAGTTTACGGTGCCTCCATAATCTCTCCAGATTGAGCCTATAAACCTCCCCGAGGATGCAGAGCCTGGGACTCTGGTGGCCACACTCACAGCCACTGATGCTGACCTTGAGCCTGCCTTCCGCCTCATGGACTTTGCCATTGAGGTGGGAGATGTGGAGGGGACCTTTGGCCTGGATTGGGAGCCAGGCTCCAGTCACGTCCAACTTCGACTGCTCAAGGTAGGCTAGGGAGGGGGAAGGGGCACACATATACCCACATGAATGCACAAGTATGCTATGCCCTGTGCCAAATAGTGACCCAGCCACATTGGTTCTAGAACCTCAGCTATGAGGCAGCTTCAAGCCACGAGTTGGTGATAGTGGTTCGGAGCATGGCAGAGTTGGTAGGGCCGGGCCCAGGCCCTGGAGCCACAGCCACAGTGACGATTCTTGTGGAAAGGGTGGTGCCACCCCCCAAGTTGGACCAGGAGAGCTACGAGGCCAGTGTCCCAGTCAGCACCCCAGCTGGCTCCCTCCTGCTGACCATCCAACCCTCAGACCCCATGAGCAGTCCCCTCAGGTGAGCCAGAAGCCCAGCCCTTATGTGGGCTGGACCTCCCTGCTCCCAAGGGATGACCCCCAGGGCCTCAGAGGGGACTCACGTTATCTGTAGCCTGGAATATTCCTCAAACCATGGCTAATGCCAAGGTTATGATTCCTGAGAGTGGGTCAGAGCTGGATGAGCTGGACAGGGTATGGAGAGGAGTGTTAGGACTCCATGCAAGCTCAGAAGACACCTCCCCATGCTGTACTGAATTGGGCCCTCTCCCATGCCCCACCGAGACTTCAGCACAGATGAGGAGGATGTTCCCTGGCCCCATCCTGTCCCTTTGTGGGGTGGCCCAGGACTAGTGGAGTTGAGTCAGGCTCCCCAGGCTCTGATAGTAACCCCCACAGTATCCATGATTTAAGCCTTGTCCCTCAACAAGCCCCTGAAGCGGGGGAGGGAGACTAGGCACCCCTGGCACTGCTTCTGTGAGTCACATAGATGATATGGAATTTGAGCAGGTCACATGGCCCTGGGGGTCCCTGAGTAAGACCCCATATATGGTTCCAGTGCCTCCCTGCCCCCATCTTCTCTGGGCCTCAGGTTCTCCCTGGTCAATGACTCAGAGGGCTGGCTCTGTATCAAGGAGGTCTCTGGGGAGGTGCGCACCGCCCGGCCCCTGCAAGGCGCCCAGCCTGGGGACGTGTATACAGTGCTCGTGGAGGCCCAGTATGAAGGTACGGCCAGGCAGTGGTGGGGCCTCTGGGAGGGAGAGTGGGCCTCAGGCAGACAGATAGATGGGCAGGACCGAGCTTTCTTCCTGGGCTCCTTACTGGCATCCACTCTCTCTAGGCAGGAAAGAGGAGTGAGGGCCGGGGTCAGTGTAAGTCTCTGAGATGCCTGGCCTCTGTGTCCCCTCTCAGACCACCCCCCTCCCTCAGACACTTGCAGTCCTCCAACACTGCCCCTTAGTCCTAGAGGGCCTCTCAGGTGTTGGATTCAGATATAAGTTAGGAGCAGAGGCTGTGGGCCCAGGCAAGTGGAAGGAGTGCCAAGGGCTGTGTCTATGGCAGCAACCCAGGAGGTGAGCCTGAGTGGGACACTCAAGCCAGGTATGGAGAACTCTGAATGCCACTTTGAAAGGATGAAGAGCTGGCCCAGGGGTGGGTATATCAGGGCAGCAGGTCTCAGGTCAGGGCTGGACTGTCCTCTGGGGCATGACAGACCCAGCAGAGCTGAACTCCCCTGCAGTCAGGGCATCTCCACACGGTTGGGCCCTGACACTGGTGGCTTGGGGTTTGGGGGGCAGTGAGGGGAAGCCTGGCACCCAGAAAGGCATAGAAAGGCCTGGCCGCTGTTTGGATAGTGAAGGGGGCAGGGGCACTGCAAGGAAGAGATGGGCATGGGGATCCCAGGGATGGGGGGTGGGCAGGATGGGTAGAGTCGGGCAGGCGAGGCAGAGACTCAGCAGAGTGAGATCCGTGGGCCTGGGACTAGCTCAGCTCTGCCTCCTCTGCAGATGAGCCTACTCTGAGTGTCTCTGCAACACTTGTGATCCACTTTCTGAAGGCCCCTTCTGCCCGGGCCCCAACTCTGAACCCCGTGCCCACCCGACACCTCTGCACACCCCGCCAGGACCATGGTGTGGTTATCAGTGGACCCAGTGAGGACGTTGACATGGCTGGTGGACATGGTCCCTACAGCTTCACCCTTGGTCCCAATCCTACGGTGCAGCGGGATTGGCACCTCCAGGCTCTCAACGGTGTGTGGTGGGGAAGTGGGGGAGACTGTGGCCAAGGAAGGAAGTGGTATGGCACTTGGAAGTGAGATGCCCTTCCACCCTGAGCGTGGGGCTGGGCTTAGGGCCTATCCAGGCTAGTGACTCTGGTCACTGCTTATGGTCCCAACAGGTTCCCATGCCTACCTCACCCTGGCCCTGCATTGGGTAGAGCCACGGGAGCACGTAGTACCCATAGTTGTCAGCCAAGATGCCCGGATGTGGCAGCTCCTGATCCGAGGTAAGGCCAGGGCTCCATGTGCCTGCAGTTCCTGAGGGAACCATTTTGATTCAGAGAGAGGGGCTTGGTACACATGCATGCAGGTTCACCTGTGCATGTCTGCACATCTGTGGCCAGGCACACAGATACTTGTGCACATAAGCACACACATAGAGAAGCATGCATCCCCCCCCGCCTGCACATACATAAATACATATATGTGCACAAAAATGTATATTATCCAGCTGCACTGGGGCTGACAAGCAGCTGGAGAACCCTCCCCCACCGCCTTTACCTTCCTCCCCCATCCCTGTCCCCCAGTGATCGTGTGTCGCTGCAATGTGGAGGGGCAGTGCATGCGCAAGGTGGGCCGCATGAAGGGCATGCCCACGAAGCTGTCAGCAGTGGGCATCCTCGTGGGCACCTTGATGGCGATAGGTAATGGATGCTGGGCTCTTGAATGGGGGAGGGTAATGGATGGTCGGAGTCACAGCCTCTAGATGCACAGTGCCCTGTCCCATGATGCCCTCCAGGGCTAGAGAAGGAACCTCCCAACTCTCCTAGTCATTATGCTCCTGCTTCCTGCCATCATAGTCATCATCACCATCATCACTGATAACAGCATTTGCTATTACATTATTACACGTTGGCTGTGCAATATAGGGTTGTCACACTGCTTTCTCCCCAGAACCCTGTGAGGTAGATCCTGGCATCTCCCTATTTTCCAGTTGAGGTCACTGAGGCTCAGAAAGTGAAGAGACTTGTCAGAGGTTACACAGCCAGAATGTGGCAGAGCCCAGGTCTTTCCAGCCTAATCCGTTTAGTCCAAGCCTCCCTCTCTATCCCCTTGATTTTATCCCTATAGATTTTTTCCCTGGATGTTTTTTTTTTTTCCGGTCCATTCTAGCACAATGCGACCATGTGCCTATGTCTCAGAGGTCCATGGGAACAACTCACTGGCTCGCAGATGACTCCCACCCAAACTATTCACCAGAGAAGGGGACCCTGGAGGTGGGGGTGTTCTGGGGCAGCAGCAGGCCCAGCAGTCAGGCTTCTTCTGGCACCAGGACCATAGTCAAACCCAGTCCAGCCTTGGGTATGCTGTCTAGGAAACCTTGCTTCCTATTAAACCAGTACCAAAGTAGAGAGTTCCTGGTGGTGGACAAATCATGTGGCCCGTTCTGAGAGCTGATCCATCCCTCTCGGGCCCCTCAGGCATCTTCCTCATCCTCATCTTCACTCACTTGACCCTGGCAAGGAAGAAGGACCTAGATCAGCCAGTGGACAGCGTGCCCCTGAAGGCAGTGGTTTGAATGGTCTGGGCAGCCCCAGTTGGGAGCTTGGCCTCTCCATCTGAGTCCTCTGGGAGGGGCCCAGGACTGCTGATCAACAGGGGCTAGGACAGTGTAGAGAAGCCCCTTCACCGCCCTGGAGTGGAGGCAACATCACCACAGAAGTCTGTAGACCCTGACCACTGACTTTATGGGCTGCTCATGCAAGTGCTCCAAACGGTGGCACATCTGTCCAATAATAAAGCCTCAGAGAGCAGGGCATGTGCTCTAAGGGACTACTGTGCCTATATCTGAGTGTCATGTGCATGTGTGTACTACCCATGTCCACCTGACCCTTCGGTCCTTTCCCTTCTCCTCCTGCACAGAAAGGGTCTAGGGACTTGAGGGACAAGCCTGGGGTCCCCTTTGAGGAGGGACATGGGGACATCATATTGGTTCTTGATGAGAACTTGAGGTTAGAGTGAGGTGGGTCATTTCTTTTTTTAAATATTTATTTATTTATTTATTTATTTATTTATTTATTATTTATTTATTTATTTATGGGGGGAGTGCACACAATGGGGGAGGGGCAGAGAGAGAGAATCCCAAGCCGGCTCCACACTGTCAGCGCAGAGCCTGGTGAGGGACTTGAACCCACAAACCATGAGATCATGACCTGAGCTGAAATCAAGAGTTGACGCTTAACCGACTGAGCCACCCAGACGTCCCAAGGTGGGTTATTTCTATGGACATTTGGAGACCATGGCTGCAGACCCTGGATGGCTTAACTCTGACTAGGTGATGATTGAGGAGGGTGTCCTAGAGAGTGTATTCTGCATTTTCTGGGACATCATATTTGCTAGGGGAGGGCATTGGTGGGTCCATGTCCTGTGCTCGTGTGTGAGCATGCTCCTGTATCTGTGGGAGTCATCTACACATGGGTGGACAGAGGTCCCACAATCTCAAGAGGGGCCTAAATAGAGCTGAACAGAAGTCTTGAGAGCCTAATAGGGCTGGAACAAGAGAGGTGAGGTTGGAAATGGTTCCCTCTGCTCCAGTGTAGACCCCAGAGCACCTTTGGGTTTCATATACAGGCTGGCAAGTCCATGGGGGAGCTCTGCAGAAAGTCAGAGAAGGGACAGAACTGAGGTGGGACAGGAAGCCCCCTATGGCTCCCCCTGGAGCTCCCCCTGTCCTACATGAACCCTTTCCCTTTGCCCAAGATTATTAAGCCTTGGCCCTGGTGCCCTACTGAGCACGGACCACACCTCCAGGCCGACCTCTAATCCCGACCCTTGACGGACCCCAGACACATGCTGATCCCCTATACACCCATCCCAACAGTCTCTGGGGAGCTAGGGTGGGACTTGCTATCCCAGGCACCCTGAGCCGATGATGGTAAATCACGGGGAAGGGAGAAAAACAACCTCCGTGGGGCCCAGGCCCTATTTTTAGGAGATAATCTCTCCACTCCACATCCCAGATTCTGTGGGATGGGGGCCAAGCACAGCCAAGGGAGATGGGGTGGGCATCCTGGCCTGAAGAGCCTGAGAGGCTTACGGAAGATCCCCAACCCAGGGATGAACTCTGGGGCTGGTCCCAGCCATCCATGGCTCAGTGCCTGCATATGTGTGTGTGCGCAGGTGCACACGCGTGCGAAGGCACACACACAAACACACACACACACACACATGCCGAGAAGCTGTGCCAATGGCTCGGTCCAAGTAGAGCTTTCTGCCCCTCTCCCAGGATCCTCTACTAGGTCTATACCCACTTAGAAGTCTCCAAGTTACAAAGCCCTTCAAAGGTGGCATCTTATCTTCCCACCAGCTTGCAAGGACAGGATTATTGGCCCTATTTGCCAGCGGAGCAGCTTCTTCTTCTTCTTCTTTTTTTTTTTTTTATGTTTATTTATTTATTTTTGAGAGAGACAGAGTGTGAGCGGGAAAGGGCAGACAGAGGGAGACAAAGAATCCGAAGCAGGCTCCAGGCTCTTAGCTGTCAGCACAGAGCCCAACATGGGGCTCAAACTCATGAACTGTGAGATCATGACCTGAGCTGAAGTCAGATGCTTAACAGACTGAGCCACCCAGGTGCCCCATGTCAGTGGAGTTTCTTGAAGATCAGAGAGGTTCAGGGCTGCAGCTGAGAGTCTTGGAAGCAGAGCACAAGGTGGGACTGTCTAGCGGAGGTTCGAGTTACCTCTTCTGAAGTGTCCACAGCCTTCAGCTGCCTCTGCTTCCATGAAATCCCTGAGAAAGGCCTTAGAGATCATCCAGGCCAGCTCCTTTTTGTGACATTGGAAAAGTGGATCACAAAGAGATAGAGAAAACTTCTCAAGTTCATCCAGCCAGTGGGATGCAGCACCTGAGCTGGAACCCTGGAGTCACCCTGCTTTCGAGTCTTTGTTCTCGATGGACAGATAAGTAGATAGGTGGGCGGGCAGATGAATGACTGAGTGAACAGGTGAGCAGGTTGGCAGATTGTAGATGGGTAAGTGGGTGGATGGGTTGGTAAGTGGGTTGGTGGAGTACCAACAAGTGGATGACAGGACACCAAGGCAAATTAAGGCAACTGCCCCAGTTTGAGGGATTTTGTCTTTGTCTTCCAGGCCCAGGCCACCCTCTGATTGTGTCAGTTCTGGGGCTGACCACAATGTCTGTAACCCCTAGGGATACATGCTCCATTTCCCTAGAATCTGTGGTCATAAGCCTCTCCATTATATCTAGCCTATTCTCTAGAGGAAATCAAGGGTCAGACAGGGAGTGTGGCTTCTCCTGGGTCACAGAGCTGGCACTGGTCTGTGGGCTTGGCCATGGGTCAGTGAGTGTCAGTAGAGATTACACTAGGGAGGTGGGCCTCATTCTGCAGGCAGGGCCTAGCTGCTAAGGCAAGGTGAAGGAAAACCTGTGGCTCAGGATGGGTTGAGCATATGATCGAGGCTCTGTCTCATCTTTGCTGTGTGTTCCCAGGTGAGTCACTTCATCACTTCATCTTTCTGAGTCTTGGTTTACTTGTTAATAAGATGGGCCTCACTAAAATGGAGTTGTTGAGAGAACAACATGAGATAATCCTCAGAAAATGTGTTTAACACGGTGTTGGGCACACAATAGGGGTTCAGTATATGTGGCTTTCCCTGACCCACAGACTGGGGGTAGGGTGGGGGGGTATCTACCACAGATGCCTACAGCCGTGGACTCTCACATTTCCCAGGAGCTCCATGAAGTCTAGGGTTTAGGAAGGGAATATGAGGGGCGCCTGGGTGGCTTAGTCGGTTAAGCGTCCGATTTCAGCTCAGTTTATGATCTCATAGTTCGTGGATTCGACCCTGGCATAGGGCTCTGTGCTGACAGCTTGGAGCCTGCTTCAGATTGTGTGTCCCACTTGCTCTCTGCCCCTCCCCCCACTCATGCTCTGTCTCTGTCTCTCTCAAAAATAAAGTAAACATTTTTAAAAAATGAAAAAAAGTAAGGGAATATGAAGAAGAGCCCCAACTCTAGCCCTGACATGGCCCTGCTGGGTGACCTTGGGCAAGACAACCCCCTCCAGCCATTGGCTCCCTGCCAGGTCTAAAGCTCTCTCTGGGGGATATTGAGAGGTCTTACAGGGTTCAAACTGGTCTGCCCTGATGGGGAGCTCAGGCTCCCCCTCTCCCAGGCCCCTTCCAGAGGCACAGGGCCAGATCAAAGAGACCCAGCACTGAGGACTGGGAGGCGGGCTTGGAAAGAATGTAAACATGAAGATATTTTTAAACTTTTTCCAGCCCCAGAGATTAGGGCTCTTGAAGGGAGAGGCCCAGAGACCGGTCTGGCCCTCACTCACAAAGAAAGAGTGTGGGGACCTCAGAGACTCCCACCCTACCCACAACTACCTGTACCCACCCCAGGACTCTAGCTTGCACCTCTTGCACCTCAGGGCAGTTCTTCCTTTGAACTTTTACCTCCAGAGGGATAAATCATAAACATGTGGGATAGCATGTTTCTAATGAGAAGACCTAAGATGTGTGGGAGGACCCAAAGGGTTTATAGGGTTGTGGGGATGGCAGGGCTAGTGTTGGGGACCCCTTGGTGGCCCTGTCACTCCATCAGGCATGCACACATGCGTGGGTGTGGGTGTCTGTCTATGGGTGTGTAAGTTCATGTTAAAGTTCCGTCTGCATGGGGCCTGTGCCAGTATGTGAGTGTGCAAGGAACTCACCCCAACCCTTCCTTCCCTCCCCTTCCTTACCATCTCTGGCCCCTCTCCCCAAGACTACTTAGATCCGTTGGGGTCGGTGGTGGGGGCGGGGGGGTGAGGCTGACAAGAGGCTCCTGGGCCTAGGGGAAGAGAACAGGGGAAGATGAGGAGGGGAAAGAGGCTGGGAGCAAAAAGATGAGAAGGCTGGGGGAGGGGCCTGGGTCCAGGTCTGAGCTATACAGTGAGTCACACTGTGGGAGCTGTAGGGGCCACTAACATGATGGTGGTTGGGGGTGGAGGAGGGTTGATTATCCTCAGGTGTCACAGTGACTCAGGAACTTGGACACAAAGCTCCCCACATCTCGCCACTCTGGATGTCACGGTGACGCTCACCCTGGGTTCTATGACAACAGCCTCTTCTCTCTGAGTGATGCAGCCACCCTCGCACACTTATGGGACACACTGGAGCACACCCACAGAAGTGTCATAGGGAGACTCATAGAGGAGACTCAGTCACAACATGGCCCCCACCTTGTGATCATATCCCACGGACCCCCACAACTTTACCTCATCCACATCCCTACTCATTAGGAAGTCAAAGGGTCAGAGTCCATGGGGGTATTTGATGGCCAGTCTGTGGTTACCAGGACAACGAGGAGCTGTAGCCCCAGGAGAGGACTTGCTGGATGTTTCCTATGTTCCAGGGGGCTGCTATGCCACCTTGTCCTGCTTATGAACCCAGAGAGGGACAAGTTTCCAGCTCTAGGTCACACAGCTCCTCAGTGGAGGGCAGGGTTCAAGGCAGGCATCCACAAGGTGGTGTGCTGCCTTCCAGATCACATCCATTGAGGCAGCAGAGACAGAGGACACGGTCTTATGCTGTCTCATAAGATGTGGGACTTCAGGCCCAGGACAATGCAGGAGCTGGATGGGGCCAGAACTGATAGGGCTGGGGGCCTGGTACTTCCCTGAAGACGTTACTGTGTGGTCCCTGTGTGCATGCCCAGTCTCAGGGGCTGTTGCTATTCTTACCTACTTAATGGTGGCCACAGGGTCAGAGATAGTAGCTGGGTGGGAGGGAGTCATGAGCACCAGCTCCTTATCTGACACAT